AAAAAAAAAGGGGGGGGGGGAGGGAAACAAAACTATCAATATAATTCTTATGTTAATGATGATTCAAATGCTTTGCAAAATAAAACTTAATTTCAATTCTTTTTCATGCCAATAATGATGCTTTTGTGATTGTGTAAGTTTGATTTGCATTGTATCTTTGAATGTAAACCATGTATAGGCCTACCTAATAAATCCTCTGATGAGCGCAAGGAAAAAAAATCTTTCAGAGAAGTCTGACATAAAGTGAATTCCGGCTCATGCGCCCAAGCATCTTCACGTACGCCTCATCTAATTGGTGATGCATTGTGGGACATGGCTGCCGACACATCGGGACATTATGAGCAATAGATGGCAGTATACCTATATTTGAAGTAGTGTCAGTAGAATACCATGCCTTTAATTCAAGTGCAAACAAGGGGAATAAATTATGCCTAATTCAGGTATCATGGTTAACTCCAGCAAAGATAATGTTATTATTCCGTCCGATGAGACATGCTTAAACAATTGAATGATGTCAATGATTATTAAAAAAATTAAATTTCTCATAATTTCATTAAAACGATTCTGATTTATTTTCAACAAATTTCCAATAACTCCCTTTAAAGCCCATCTGTACTAGTTTACAGGAGGGATTAGACCACCCTGCAATGTCACTAACAAGTGGTTATCTCATCAAATCTGCTCTCAATTGACATGAGACAAAGAGGATCATGGGGGACCAATGGTCACCGATTAGGCATTGTTTACAATACTTTATAGAGGGTGCACGTAGCTATAAGTAGTGCAGTGGGGCTTTAAGATAGATTAAAATACAATACAGCCGCTTATGCTTTAAACAATTAATGGATTGTATTTTCTAGGGAGTGAATGGAAGATATACAGCAAATCTTCTACGGATCTCAAGACGATCGAAGGGTAAACTTTCTCAAGGTCGAGAGTGTTTTAATATAGATATATCGCCTGCTATGAGAGACTTGGCTGTTTTTGTAAGCTCAAGGGGCGTTGCATCCTGTCATGACCCCGAGGCGCGCCTGGGCGTCCCCGAGAGCCAGGCCTCGAATATTAAAGTAGTCGATATATCTTTTATATACCGAATTCACACAAAAATCTTACCAGAATTCTTACCTTATATCCTTTTCTTGACTAAAGATTGGTTAAAACATGACAGAAAATCAGTCTGAGACACTGTCTCTTAATCTTCTTTGGAAAAATGACTGAATGTTTTGGGGAATTGCACACACACTGCACTGTATGGTATCCGCGCTCGCACAAGGTAACTTTTAAAACATAAACCAATAGGGGGTCTCATCAAAATTCGACTAATTTCCCGGTACCCGGAATCTTTCGGGAATCTCACTCATGAACTATTGACCGTTATTGGCATTGTGAGTTACTTTACGGGAATGGCTAAAATCACGACTCCAATTTCGACCAATCAGATGGCTAGATTTCTAAAGAGAGGTATATAACATGTTCTGTCCCATTGCAGAACTGCAAATTACAAAATCAGGTCGATAGATATTCTTCTGATGGATGAGCGATCTGGTTCTGTTCAATTCTCTGAGCCCCTAATTGACATTTCGTCCTCCCCTTCCTTTTCCGTCACTCTGCCAGTTCAGGAAAGTTCTTTCCAAAGCGCAATCCAGTCCCATCGATCAGGCATACAAATTATATAGCCCCTACTGTGGAAAGAGCAACACATTTCCGTCCACCTTAATGACGCCAAGAACGGCGGGCCCTGTTGCACCAGACGTAATGACCAAGAATAAATCGCAAATATTCAACTCATTGAAAAATAAACCTGAGGTAATTCAAAAGCCCAGTGTACCACCCATTGAATGGTGCGTACATTACAATGATTATTACGTAATTCGAACATGATTTTTCTTTTGGGATAAACATGGGATGTAGGGTATTGATAGTGCCCCCAGATGATTACTAGAAAGTCTCTGCGATCGTGCTGGATTTAGAATCCATCATTTCGAGAGTTGCGACTGAATTCTTGATTTCGATTATCTAGAGCCTGAAAAGTTGCGTAAAGTGTACAACCCGCGATTGATTGTAGGCTTTGTAGCATCCTGTAAAAATAGGGATTCGTGATTGGTTTAACAATACAAACAGGCGTATTCCTTTTGAGAGCACACAAAAGCTTGTTCCATTGAAGCTATGATCCTATAGAGTACTGGAAAGGAGTGCATTAGCGAACTAATAGCGTTAGCGATATGATTTCCCTTTCCGATGCTTGCATAATGACTAGAACCGGTAAAAGGATCAAACCCACTATACACACCCACGCAATCAAAAGCATAGCCTTCGATCATTGATGTACTGAATACGGAACTGAAATCGTCAAATGGGGCAATTATCTAAAGTGATGGATGACCGCTGACCATTGTTACACAAAATTGTCGCCGCTATCTGCTTCGTTTGCACTATACAAAATAGGCAAAATTCGTTACTTTATTGATAGATGTATACAGCAGAACGTTCGGTTCATGCTTTTGTTCATGACTTAATTGTGTAATTTTGATTTGTGTAATAGTCTCCTTTTTCGGTTACCACTTCGTCAAATAAAAAGATTACAAAACATTCAAAATTCAGCAGCGCGGCTAGTTACACGTACTGAGAACATGATTAAATGTCCCCTGTCTTACGAAATTTAAAATTGGTTACCAGTCCAGTCTCGCATCCAATTTAAAATGTTTTTATCAGCTTATAAATGTTTTTATGAATTAGCTCCCTCTTATTTAAATGAATTACTCATTGCCAATAAATCAGTAAGAAATCTTCGATCATGTAAAAAGAAAAAAAATTGTTCCTCCTATTTTGACAATCACAATATGGTGAACGTTCATTTGCCCATGCTGCCCCAGTTTTAAGGAATAGCCTACCAGACTCACTTAGAAACATTGACCCAATAGATGAGTTTATCTCCACCCTGAAAACATATTTATTTCAATTTTTGTAAACAAGTAAAAGGAAATCGGTACCCAATTTTCTCTTTGCTTTTTTTTTCTAAGCGCAGAGGGAAATACTATGTAATGTGTTATATACGCTATATAAATATGGATCCTTATTATTATTATTATTATTATTGTGGAGTGCATGGTTTCAAATATTTCATATATTTTTTATTACTCATCGATATTCAAACAAAATTGAAAGGGTGAGGTTTTGAATTACGCCGAGAAAAGAGGTGACGCGATTGAATTAAACATCAATCTCGATGTTATAATAGCTAGTTACCACAACCCCCCCCCCCAAAAAAAAAAAAAAAAACGCTTTATAAAAATGGATTATTATTACTATTATTTTAATTATTATTGTGGAGTGCATGATTTCAAATATTTCATACATTTTTTATTACTCATCGACAATCAAACAAAGTTGAAAGGGTGGGGTTTTGAATTACGCCGAGAAAAGAGTTAACGTGATTGAATTAAACATCGATCTCAATATGGCTGGTTTGTGGCACAATCCCCAACCATGCACACGTCGAACAAGAAACTGATAGGAAGTCACACCTATGGACAATACGATTATAATATTGTTTATAAATTATAAAAAAGATGTCAAAATCCATGTCAATTCACTTGACATGATAATTATTTATACGAATAAAATAAACCCCATGGGCCAGGGCAAGCTAATTTGTTTGGGTTGCCCCGATCTTTCTTGACCCTTTGGGCTGGCTGCCTGCCCCGGTAGCGTCATTTTTTTTCTGCGGCACAGATTTTTAAATATTTTTTAAAGAGGTCTTGATTTAACCCTAACCCTAACCCTAACCCTAAACTTTCCCATAGGCTCAACACGCACCTAACCCCAATCTGTGCCGCAGAAAAAAATAACGCGCCCCGGTAAAGACGTGAGGCTTTTTCTATAACCCTATATTATATTCATAGGGCATATTTTCAGAAAATGCTTGAATCACTTACCCGTGAATAAATTTGGTGTGGACCCCCTTAAATAAGCCGTCAAGTAAGTTTATATTCCTTTTTATCTAATAAGTACATTTTAGAAATTCCTTGAATTACTTGCCCTTTAATGGGCCAGAGCAACGTACCAATTTTTTGGCTGCCTTGATTTTCCCTGACCCCTTGGGCAAGCTGCCTGCCGCGGTAAAGCCGTTAGGCTCTTTCTATAACCATATACGTCCCTCCGTATTTGAATCACGAATATCGGGTATCCAACCATGCAACTTTGGAAATCGAACATCAAATATCCAACCAAAGTAATTAACTGCAGTGGCTGGTCGTTGATTTCAGATGCGAGTGGTCAGGGGATAATATGACAATTTGTACGAATCTACTGTTGCCTTAGGAACAGAGAGCTCGAGTATGTGGTCTCTTCTGATGATGCACGGAGCTTCGATTAGGAAGATCAGTGAGGAAGACAAATATTGACTATAGTTGGTGGTGTATTCTATAGAGCATGGTGCTTATTGTGCTAAGAGACGACTTGTTTTCAGTGATCCCATATAAGCAAGGAAACAAGCAGACTCTATACCTGACGTGGGAATTTGATAGTCACAGAAGACAAAACAAGAAGCTGTTTTCTGCATCCTTTCTATACCTTCGGAAGCACGAGAAGTGTGGGATACCAGGCTTCAGCGCCATACTCTGGCCATGGACCTGCTCTAGCTGAGGTCGAACCATGCAAGGCCGTATATGCTCTTGATTTCACACCTTTGCATAATATATTCCCATATATATTTTCGCTCTGAATGTTTTCATTATCAGATAAATGCATTGTGATAATCACGATCACATCGTTTTAATCTCCCCACTACGCCCTCTTTCACACTTTGTGACAGATGAATTCTTCCCCTAGTCTGCCATTATCATTGTTTGTCGCTTGTGATCATCGAGCCATGCACCCACATCTTCTTTCCGTGCCTAGTCCCATTTCATCCCTTATCGATTCCTTAAGGAGATAAAGACGGCATTGTTCACGCTGAATTGTTACCCGTTACCACAGTTCATATCGATCTATGGTACACAGTGCATGGTACAGACCAGGCCCCCATATTTCTTAAAATTGCTCTCTTCAGAAAGAAACATTGTACGTATGAGTAGCAAAGGAATATATGCACGATACATGTTTAATAACGTCTCTATACGCCCAAGAAGAGACAAAGTTTGTAAAGTTTAATTCCATGACTATGGAATTCCTGTTCGTCAGGATGAGATTGCGCTTCAAATAAAAAGGTATACAAACTCTGTGCATTGAATCGTCGTGCTTGGCGAGACTTATCGGATAATTTCTGAAGCTGTTTATGAACGTATTGATCATCAGCTCCCGTGCTTGATAACTTTAATAAAGAGGAGCAGAGGAAAAGGACAAGATTTGATATCCAACTTCAACATGGGATGTCGCTCTGGAAGATGCCATCTTCGCAAATGGGCCGCGGATACTTCTGACTTACACGGTCTCAAGCATATAGCAGGATCTGGAAACTTATTTCGCCGTCTCGTCTGGCTGTGTCTCTTCCTGACTGCACTTGGTTTCTGTATTTACGAATGCTATCTTGTTTTTGTGGGATTTTTATCCTTTAACCATGTCACTCAGGTCGATGTCTTGTATAGCACCGAAGTGGAGTTTCCAGCAGTGACCGTCTGTAATATTAACAAATACAGGGAATCAGCCTTTACAGAGGATGATATTAAAAATGTCGGCGTTCACCTAGGTATGCTAATCTTCATTAATTTTGTTCTTCAGTATCACCCACCAAGCTAATAAAAATGTATAATTAAAAAAAAAATACATTGAAGTATACATGTGCCTATCCTAAGGCAAAAGTACTCACTCGATCATCGCGATCCTTTTTTTAAACATTTTGTAAACAGGAAACGTTAATTTATTCATATGTGTTTCGTTGTAATTTGTGCAATCAGTTGCTTCTAGAAATAAAAGGGCCTCATTTTCTTGAATGAAAAAAACCTTATATCAAGAGGAAAATGATTCTTTTTGTAATAAGAATAAGCTTCTAAACATTAAAGTTGCCTGGCCTTATGCCGAGAAACGTCACCGACTGCTCATCCTCTTTTTAAAAATAAAGGATGTGAATGGTACGAAGTCTTGAAAGTTATTGATCAAATTCTACGCACACAAAATCTGAATAAAGGACGCCCAAATATCGATCGCAAACGTATACCTCTATCAATTTTTAATGGCACAACGTCGCTCATTAAGCATTACACCAACACGAAGAAACTAAAAAACATTACTTAACTCAAAAGTTCTTTTCACCTCTTTTTGTTGCATATTATTTTCGTTTTAAGCTTTTGTTTTTCTGCAATTTTGGCATTGATTTTATTCCATACATATATATATTTTTAAAATTATGTCTAGATAAAGCATACTTTTTTTATTAATAATGTCGCTCAGGCCATGTCTCATGAATGAAACTGGCGAGCAAAACAATCTGCATTCACAACTGACAAAAAATTGTTCTAAATCAATTGCTGATAAACACATATTTCATGGCATTGATCTAATTGTACATTTAAAGCATTATTTTACAAATATAATATTATTTTCAGAATATTATATGAACAAATTGTCCACCTAAAATCTACACTTTCCAAATTTACAACGAGTAAAGTTCATTTTGATACCAATGGTTACCTTTTAGTATCATCGATCAACAGTGACGAGGGTCTTTTTTACACCTAGTTTGATGATCAATGTTAATTTCTTGTTCTTCTGTTATTTTTGGACGTTACAGGTATCATCGATGAAGATCATAACCTTCTCTTGCCTGAGCTTTACACTGATGAGTTCAGAGATTTCATTGATTCTGTTAACTGGACTGTCGTGGAGGAGGATCCTGATTACAACATGACCGACTTCACCATCAGAACCGGACATCAGAAAGAAGACATGATACTTTCGGTATAAATTGCGATGTATATTATGGACGTATCCGGACGCCTACCCCTGAACATCCAACCCCGGATAACCATCCCCAGTCAACTACCCCCAAGGACAACTAGCCCCCAGTACAACTACCCCCTAGGGCAACCACCCTCTAGGACGACTACTCCCGAGACAACTACCCCCGGACAACTACCCCCGGACATGTACCCCTCAGACAACTATCCCTTAGGACAACTACCCCCGGAAAACTACCCCTAGGATAGTTGTCCGGGGGTAGTTGTCATAGAGGATGGTTGTTGTAGGGGGTAGTTGTCCGGGTGGTCGTTTTCCGGGGTAGTTGTGTTCCGGGGGGTAGTTATCCGGGTGGTAGTTATCCGAGGAGGTAGTTGTCCTAGAACCATATATGGAAAATACGAATTTAACACACACCATGTCGTCGGCTGGTAGACATTAAAGGCATTAACTCATTATGCTTTCACTCATACTGTGGAGGTGTCGTGATATATTAACTTTTATTATTTATTATTATGTTTTATTCACATGACCTCTTAATCCAAGGGTTGAGGGTTCGAATCCAACCCCGGCACTAAAGTTTAGCAATACGTCAATCCACATTTGCCACCCTTCACCCATGTGTAAATAGGTACCCGATTTGCCAGACCGCTATAATAATAGGCCATTTTCGTAATGAAATCAAATTTAAAGCACGATTCTTCGTTAAAATGAATCATTAATGTAATGCAATTAGCATTGGGACTATTGAAATACAATTATTCATAAAATTGAATGAAATAATTTGTAACATGGCACGTAACAAAGATTTATGTATTCAATTTGAGTAAATTACACAAAATGGTCTATTGGCCGCCGGCTATAAGCTGGAGCGCCTTGAATCCGCCATTATTATTATGTTTTTTCAAACAGATTTAGCACCCTTCTGGCTCTCAACAGACAATTTGATGGGACATGTTAGTATAGAAAGATTGTTATCAATCATACGATGTACCATGGTTACATATTTGTTCTAGGGATTAGTATGTCCCGTGCGTATTCAAACAAAACAGGGCACATGACTTGTTTTCCTCAGAAATAGCTTTGCCGTTACTTTACTGAACAAAATACGTCGAGTGACAACTGATGAGAAATAAGGACTCGATCTCCCTGGATACCCAGCAACCAGATAATAGTCAACTAGTAACTAACTGTTTGCCATCTGTTCTCGAAAGTGTCACTACAGTATAACAAGCTCTGTGTAGAGATGTTCAAGGATGTACTCTCACAGTAGAAGTTTTATAGAATATTACAATTCAATTTTTTTAAAGACGCTGTCGGAAGTGAAATGAAATAGATGAATTCGTCCTTGTTTTCACGAAGTGACGGTAGTGAGGAAAATCGTAACGCAAAGTGAATGCAATTTTTTTTCACTACCGTCACTTCGTGAAAACAGCGACGAATTATATCAACGGAAATCTTATAAAATATTATATCAATATATGATATATTATGTCTATCAGAATAGTAAACGCTTTCTAAAAAACGAAATCTAATGCTTTGAATGTTGCACATCATCTTCTTTGGAGTACTCATATTCACAATGAGTTGCATTAATTTAATCACGGATCATCGCCTCAGCTGTTTAGGCGAGCCGGTCGGGTCCACATGTGTTGTAGTCACCGTAACTGAGGTATATTTGAACCCTGTTGACCCGTAATTTGGAGGGGTGCGGAAAATGAGGTTTTAATATGCCTTTGTACAATAATGAAAGGGAAAAAATTTGTTTATTCATTTATATTTGTATTCCACGTTCATTCATCTTTCCTTCGTTATAAAGTTGAATTTTCGTCGGATAAGGTCTTTAAGAACAATCAAAAACACAATCGCAAACGCTTACAAAATAAACTCAAGGACAGTTTCAACACCCTTTAGTATATCTCCCACACAGCCATATAAATCATGTTCAGAGTACGTAATACGTCATTGTCATGTCCGCACATTTCATTTATTTGTTCATGTTTTTTTTGTTCATAGGTTTTTATTCTCTTCTGTCATAAAGAAAATTTTACATAATTTATAACATTGTATAAAAAATAACAAAATAATCTTCACATATATAGGTCTAAATAAATTTGCGAGTGAACTTTTACATTTTCATACAAGGTTACAAATAAAGTTACACATTTACAGATGAAAAATATTTACATAAACAAAATTATATTTTCGCATTTTAAACAAATCGCAAATAAAATTTGTATTATTTCATTGGGTGATGAGGCTGCTGATATTGATATTGATATTCTGAAAGTCATTGCGATTTTGTTGTTGTTGATATATTTTTTGGTTTCTATTTATGTTTGGAATAATTTTCATCTATACAGTGTTTGTGGAAAGAGGAACCGTGTGAAGAGAGCGATCTCCAACATAAACTAACACATCTCGGGAACTGCTACTCGTTCAATCTGCAAGGAGAAAACTCGGATGAAGCCGACTGGAAGCACTCATATGCTGCGGGTGCAGGTAATACCTCAATGACACCACCAAACCTAGTGTCTCTTCTGCTAAGAGAAAAATAGAGAATAAGAAAAAAATAATCCGCCACAACGATATATAACGTTTAAGATAAAGTTGAGTTATGGTCATGCGATTGCATTGTGGAAGAAACGGTGTGGAATCTATCAGAAAAAGTTGTTCATGTAGCATATAAGTATTGGTGTGCACTGCAAGGTTCTAGAATCATTAAAGTGATAAGAACTTTGACCCAGTCTTGGTAAAAGCATCAAGCACTGTACACAGAAAGATGCATATGGGACTCATTTTAAACTGTCACATGTCATATTTAGAATGATGAAGGCATTTAAAGAGCTTTGCTTTTCAGCGAATATTTTTTTCTCTGATGGTCTTCCACACTCCCGCCCCCCCCCCCCCCCCCCACTCCGAGAACGGACGGACCCCATGCGTGTTGCCAAAATGTCCTTTTCGTAACAAAAGAAAAAGGTCGACCCGTATTGACTTTACACACCGGACTTTTGCTGAAAAGGGGGGGGGGGGGGGGGGTCGGTTGGAACACGCATATGCGTACCCTAAATAACACTGAGTGGGGGGCCGGGTCCACTCTTCAATAATAACAATGAAAAAGCTCACAATTTGTTCACCTCTCCCCCAGAACTCAACCTTCTCTGTAAGTCATTGTTCTTAGAGAGTGTAGATATCTAGTATGAGACGACGGAACGGCCTAAAACCGGAGTAAATGGGAAGGATAATTTATCAACATGAAAAAGGGCAACTTGTGTTCACTTTAAGTGTTCTTTTAATGAATATTCATGATTTTTTAGAGAATATAAAAAATTATTGGGACGATGGCGCACATCTAACCATTTGATTAAAAATCTTTTCCAATGTTTGACCAGACGCGTTCCCTTGAAAGCAATTAAACGGTCAGAGTAAACATTTGGTCGTGTCGTTATGACAACAGAACAGTCGATGAGCCGATGATGGTTTGCTAATTCGAAGTTATTACAATTAGTATACTAATCAACAACCTTATAAAGTGATCTGAAGGAAGAAGTGATGCGATGTGTCTTGAACGGGCTAAAAAAAAAAAAAATCGGTGTTTCCTATTATAACTGTGTACGTATAAGTTGAAGAAAACACCATTATAAAAATCCCTCTCCCCTTGACATTCTTATATTTCTCTTTCAACATTCTCTTTTTTTTGTCCATCCTCATTTCTCCACCTTTCTACATGGTCCATCCCCTTTCTCTTACTCTTCTTCTTCTCTCTCTCTCTCTGTCCCCTCCCCCTTCTCTCTACTTCTGGTTCATTTCTTTCAAAATACTATATTCTACCCAACTCATTGACTCTATCACGATTTGAACCTCGCAGCCAATGGCTTACAGCTCATCCTGAACATGGAGACTCCCGAGTATACCCCGACCAACGATCTAGACGGAGGAGCCATGGATGCGGGTCTTCGGATCATGTTCCACTACCCGACGGAACCCCCGTACCCCAAGGAACTTGGCTTCGCAGTCGCCGCGGGAGATCACTCATTCATCTCCATGCGGCATGAAAAGGTGCAGAATAAAAATCATCTACTTTCTTTGTTCGTTGTTGAACGTGTGCGTGTGCGTTGTGAGCGCGTGTGCGTGTTTTGTTATATTATGACTGTGTTAAAATATGTATTAATATCATGATCGTATTCGAATTCACGCGATTTATTGCGAATCAGATTAGCAAGAGATTACTGAATAAATAATTCAAGGCGTCCAAATCGTATTATAACAGCCTACAAATTAGAAGTTGATTATATAGCACTTCCACTAACTTACTACTCACATCAAAACAAAATCTTCTACTAGAATCAATGGAAACCCCTTCTGCTATAAGCTGTTAATGATAAGTGTTTTTAAAGTGTATCAGCAAATTAATTTCTGCATGGATGCCCATTTTTTAAAACTCCGAATCTGCCAAGCCCACACTTCTTGCTCACTGGTTCATGCAATATATCTTTATGACGATTTAATTTTTCCCCTTCAGATTTGTATCGACATAATTTATCTACTCAGCTAGGGAAGCAATATTATAGCAACCTGATGCAAGATCAATAAAAGAATTCTGGAGAAAGAAAGTTGTTCTGATCAAGTTTAATTTTCCTTGATCCCAAACTCAGATCACGAGTCTACCCGACCCTTACTCCGAGTGCGAGTCGGATGGCGCGGACATCATAACCCACTTCGACCACTACTCCCTGCAAGCGTGTCGGATAGAGTGTGAAACCCTGGTCGTCGTGGCCGAGTGCGGTTGTCGCCTCCCCGAGATGCCAGGCGATGATGATGTATGCGGTCCAGCTGATTTACACGAGTGCGCGCACCCTACTTTAGGTATGTGCGATGCAAATGTCTCAGTAAATCGACAATAACAACGACTGATAATAGAACAGTGAAAGAATGCTCATCCTTTTCCGTGCATTTATTGTCTCAATATAAAACAATTATATTGATAGAAGGTATAAAACTATCCTCCTTCTTCACGGTATTTACAATAAGATTGATGAAAAGGCTATGATTTCTCTCATCATTTTTCGTTTTAATTTTCAATTAAACATATCAGTGCCATTTATAATCATTTAAGAATCATCCTCTTTTTTAATTGTATCTTTTTGGTTTAAAATGTTTTTTTCTCTTTTTCCTGTCGTTTCTTTGACTCCAAGTTTAGATTTTTATTTTTATCTAATTATATGTACAAACATGGTCACTGGATTTCAAGTTGCACACGACATATAATATAGCCGAACAAAATGAAGACGAAGAAGATGTAAAAGAAAGAGGAGGAGCAGGGAAAGACTAAGACGACTAAGACTTAAAAGAAGAAGAAAAAAAAAGGTGGTGATGATGATAAAAATAGTAGTAGAGGAAGTATAAGGAGAAAAAGATGATGAAGAGAAAAAGAAGGTCAAAGACAAAGGGATAAAAAGAAGAAATAGAACGATGATAAATGTGTAACATTGATCTGCTGCTTATCTTTACAATGTGATTATGTTTCATTTGAAATCAGTTGAATTTATCACTGGGAACTTGGATTCAGCAGAGAGTTGCGAATGTTTCTCGCCCTGTGAAGTGGAAAATTATCCGTTTACCCTTTCAACTAGCAGACTGCGCTTGACCTACCTTGAAGCACTCTTTGCGAACACCAGTACAAACTTCACAGCTGCATACATTGGGTAAGAAAAGAAGAAACATTTCCATATCATGGAATTATTGATTGAATTATCGGGCATTCTCGAAATAGGTTATTGACCGAGTTCTAATTCGGAATGATTTTCACAATGAGCTGAAATTGATTTAAAAAAAAAAATCTTTTTACTTTTTATCAACAGTTTGACCCTGTGACAAAAAGATTAACGATTGATTATGTCATCCCTAAATTAATCGGTTTTTTTTTTCTTCAGTTCAATTAATGCCATGCCTGATAAGTAACAATTAATTGCAAGAAATTTTGTACGATTCATTGTAAGTTGATTTTTATTTTACAAGGCCCAGATCCTCCTTCGGTATTGTCATTTTTTTGGACTCAAAATATACATCATATATTCCAGAATGCGCGATTTCTCGAAAAATAGGGGTTCCAGAAAACAATTCTAAACGAGTAGATATTTTCTCTTAAAGCCTGTCTGTACTAGTTTGGAGGGATTAAACAACCCAGGGTGGTTACTGACAGGTGGCTATCTCATCAACTCAGCTCTCAATTAATATAAGAAAAAGAGGATTATGGGGGACCAACGGGCACCGCTTAGGTATTGTTTTCTATATAGAGGGAGCAAGTAGCTACAAGTAGTGCAGTGGGGATTTAATTCAAGAGTTATAACAATGTAAAAACAATATATCTTTTTTTACAAGTCTTCTGACTAGGTTTGATATCACATAAAGTTTATGATGTCATCTTTGCCCCTGCCACATCCATTATCACCAGATTATGAAACTTGCAGAAGATAGTATTATTATGCACCGAAAAGACCCCCACCCCTAAAAAAAAAAGGTAGCCTCCAATGCTTTTTCTTTTCGCCAAGGAGTCGGATCAATTAACTTAAAATTAAAGATAAGACAATTTTTCAAATAATTCGATACATTATCCGTTTTTAATCATTTCAGCGAAAACATCGCAGTGGTATCGATGTACTACGAGGCTTTAAATTTCGAGACAATCGACATGTTGCCAGAGTATACTGTTGCAACATTGTTAGGTAAGTAGTATGTAATTCAATAATAATAGATCACATTTATAACGCGCCTAATACATTGTTTCTAGGCGCAGTATGATGTGATGTGATGATTATACAAACATTGTTGTGCAACATTATACATAATATCTGCTTGAAAAAAACAATAGAGTAACCATTCCTCTATTTAAAAACACTTCATTAAGTTTCCAAATGCAGATAAAGTCACCCTTTCTGTAAAATGGATGAGACACAAACTACCAGACATGCCGAAAGATTTCATCATGGACGAATGAACCGTCGAAGTAGTTCTTTGTTAAATAAAACCTTATCATACCTTATAATTTAATGGCGGGAAAAATGGGGGAAAACAAAAACCGATTTTGAATGGTGGGAGTGGATGCTTTTTATCAGCATTATTTTCTGCTTAAAATCATATTAACCTGTATTTTCATTGAGATGATCTTACGAGCATGTTTCCTATTTTTCTTTCATCCCAATCTATTTTTTAAATAATTCATCCATTCTGTTTTCTTTTAATTTTTCGATCCAATCTCTCTATTTACTGCTCTCACTCTCTCCCTCCCTCTCTCGTCAACCTCCTGTCTTTTTTCTCCATTTTTTACTCTCCCTCTCTCCCTTCTTTCTCTTTATCCCCTTCCCATTCTCTCTTTTTATAACTCCCTCCCGCATTCATTATCTATACAGCCGTTCTTGGAGGTAATCTTGGTCTGTTCTTGGGTGCCAGTTTCCTGACATTGGCCCAACTCGGAGAGTACTGTTTCGATGAGGTGATCGGCTGGTGTATCTGTACGCCAAAAAAAGAAGACGATGATAAAAACGACGGTGGAAACAAAGTCGAACCCGTTTCTACAGTTACGGCTATGGATGCTTGGGGTGCTCAAAAGCTCTAGAATAGGAAGATCACGCGATGCTATCCAATCAGAATGACCCCTTGAGTAGTAATAGCTGGTACCCTCATCATGATTGGATAAACGTTCATTAGCTAAAGGTTCAAGGGTCAAGCCCTCAACGGGTTAATGCCATACATGGTACTCTGTTCCTTATTGTTAAACACTGATTAGCGAAAGTTGATTTTTATTCTTCCAATGAGGATCAACACATGGAGGTGTTAGTCGTGCAGCCTGATATCCTACTCCTGATTGGCCGAAGGCATATTGGCTAAACTTTTAATGGCCAATCAGGTGATATTTTTGAACGAATAAGCTGCGCTGCACTGGTACCTTACTCCTGATTGGCTAAACACTAAATAGCTAAACCGGCAGGGGCCAATCGGGTTCTGTCTCTATCATGTCTACAGGAGCTATCTAAACCCTCACCCTTTATATCGGCATAACGGTTGGAAGAAGAGCCGAACTACTGATTGAAGATTGGATAGAACATCAGCTATACAAAGACGCCAAACCGTCCATGTTTGGAGATAAAGAAAGAAAATACATACAATTGATTTTTCGCAATCACGTAAAAAGATCTATTCATGATGTTAAACCTACACTAAATCGAAATAGGACAACACTATTGCAGGCGTTTGAACACAAACACATCCATACTTTAAACAAAAAATATTTATTAAAGCCTTATTTCATTGTTACATTGCCTCGAAAATAACTTACCTCGGTGTCATCATAATGAAGAATTAAAAAGGTTTACAATAGATTTCATTTTAGTGATCACTAAAGCTAGATATTTCAATGCAATATGTGTTTTATAAGTGCATTATCATGTAAATAAAACAGAAGGACATGTGAATATTCACATAATGAGATACATAATGCAAGGTGCATTGTCCGCTTACAAATGATATCATGCATTGTAAATATTCACGTAAATTATATTTTATCTTTTCCAATTATTGAGAAAGATTAAAAAATTGGAATAAGACACACAAAATGTTGAGTACGACTTCACAGATGTAGGGAGCAGTATACATTCGTTATTAATAAAATGTGAATATTTTTCGATACGATAGATAATACAAAGCCATTGACGTCGTTTTCTGGAAGGGATAGGTTATTGTGTATTTTCCTACTACAAAGACCGACGACTTAAATTGAATCAGTCTTGCCAAACGCACAAGTAATTGGTACTCGTTTCAAGTATGTCATCTTACCATGTACAAAACAAACGATCACCTTTTATAAAACGTACCCACATTCTGTTTCAGTGCATGCATGTGATAATATGTGATTATAATATGTACAGTGTAGTTTTGCTTTAAATGATAGTGTGAGGTATTTTCAGAAACACCGAATAGAATAAGATTACCATCATCTTACTTGACCAAAGGCCCTATATATATAGTTGTATTTATCTTTTATTTTGTATTTACTATGTGGCTTGTATTATTAATGTAATCTTACTTGTGTGAAATGTACAGTAAGTTAATGATTATTATGAAAATAATTTGCTCTCATGTGTAACAATATATATACATGTATATAGCAATAAACCATGATTGGCAAATATACATTACAAACCGAACTTACGACTCATCATTTCAGTCTAATACAAGCCAATATAACCTGTTAAATTATAATACAGAGAGATAGAAAATAGACAGCATTATTATGTTAGCGGTCTTCCTTAAATGTTGAGGTGCATAAAAGTACAAGGATATAATAAAGATTTTAACATTGAACACAACTTTATATAATATAATTATCTATAATATAATTCTTTTTATGATCGTTTAAACGCGGAGACGGTAATTATGGAAGCGCAGATTGTATAGACTACGGAATAAAACCTTGGAAAGACAGAAGGACAAAGATTATCAGTAATTATATCCTCGATTCGCTCCTTGGAGTACATTTGGTATACACAATAACAGATCGTAATACAAAGACAACAAAATATGTTAAATTATATACACCATGTATACTTGATATCAATGTAAAGTAAAGTATAACCTTCAGAAATTATTTTTCAAAAACCAAATATGTATAGATATATTTGATTGAAAGTCGTGATTGAAAAAATAACCACACCAGAGTTGATGGCTCTGGGATGTGGATTTCATTTCATCAACTCAAACTCAAATTCCAGTTAGTATCGGGCGAGACAATTAGTATTCTATCACTTTATAGTTTTTCAGTTCAGCATGTGGATGTATTTACATGTATGTTACATCTCCAGTTAACATATATTTTACATTGTACCATGATATTCAAATAAGTCTTTTTTAGGTGTATGACTCACTCGCATAGCTAAAACATAAACAAGCAAAAACAAAAACATACCAAGTATCAAGAAATTAGTATTTGAATCAAATTTTGCGTCTGTGCCCGCTTCATTAAACAAATATGCTTTTAATGGTGGAAGGTAAATTGATTGTACATTGTGTAGATTGCAATCTTCATAGTATCCACCATTATTTCAACCATGCCAATATATGGTGGAAACGTATTATACAAAGCACAATCACAGTGTTATCTTTAACTTGGTCCACCTTGTTCAATCCATGTATTCACAATCTTAATATTGAAATGATTGTATACATCATCAAAGTTGACAATGGTTACTCTATTCTGTTTCAATTATGTTGTCAGACTTTAAATTCATAATGAAATCAAGAATTAAAAGTCGTTAACTACCACATAAATATGTTAATCCAAGATTTATTCCGTAACCATGGATCAGAACTGACGAAACTCGCGTAAACATTTCGTATCATTCTCGCCTCACATTGGTAAACCACACTTATTGTTCTTTTAATTTAGTTAGTTTCTGCGTTCAAAGTTAGCTTCTAGCATCTTCCTTATGGATTTTACTTGAGTTGGATGTTGTCGACTAATCCATTCTTCTGCGCGTGTGATGCAATCCCCATGAGCCATACCTTTACCCCCATGAGACTGGAGAGGGCGGGGTAGAGGGATGCTGTCCATTTGTGATAGAACCTCCCTCAGATAGAGAATGAGGAGGAGGGTAAGTAGGATGGAATGGAGATCCCGACGAATGTGGGATGGTACTGGGAGCTTGCCTATGTGAGTTGAGAAGAAGGAAAATATGAGTGAAAATCTAACGTACAGGTGGCGTGAAATTCCGTAATTTAAATAAATCCTTCGGCGATTTTAAAACAAATATTTTTAAAACTTTTTACTCGCATTCCATCTATGCTGGATGCCATGAATTTGCAGGCTACCCATTTAAACACGTAAATCTATCAATGTTGAATTAATTCTAACTTTCATGAAATTCCATCGATTCTATCCATCCATTCTATTCTATTTTTCATTGATATCGTGTAAAAGCTTAGTTGAACGATAATTTTTAGTCAAGTTCTACAGAGCCTGAAATGTGATTATATTTAATACCAAATGTGTTTTGTTAGGGTTTGTTAGTCGTCTTTTCATTGGCAGATTTTTATAACTACTTACAACAATACGTATATATCTCCTGGAAATCCATGACGAACAAGTCATCTACCATGTGTTCATGATCCTTCCATGTCCAGAGACCATTCTGCAATAATCAATAACATTCATCAAAAGGCTGACCCATTTTGTAATTATAAAAAAAAAGTACTGGCGAGCTTCCGAAGTGTCGAAGCTATCAATTAAGCAACAATTTAATAAGATGTTGGAAAAAGGGGGATCGAGCTTTTAAACGAAGAAGACATGACAAAAATGCGACAGGTTGTATCTTTAAAGCGCTTAGGCACTTCGTTGTATCGATGTATCGGGCGCTATATAAAAGCGGATTATTATTATTATTATTATTATTATTATTATCTTCAAAATGACCTCAGAAACATAGGTGGAAAGAGTACAAGAAATATAGAAGAAAGAAGATCGGAATTCCAGGATTAGAAGTTGTTGCTCTCGTTGGAATGATTATAAAGTCTGTGTCAAAGACTGATCATGATTATGTACACATTTCCTAGCCATCATATTATATTTAATGGTTTTAACCACAATCTGCACTGAATTTCCTATCTAGTAATAATTGAGCAATTTGATCTCCATTTAAAAAGAGTTATGGTAACAATTTCATCAGGGATATTATGGATACCACATCGTAAATAAACGAACAACACTTACCTTATCTTGTTCTGATATCACGCGGTTGATTTCTGACATATTCCTCTTCGACTCTTTAATCTTGATCGGTGATCTTAACTCCTCCATAGGGTGCTGTTCCTCATCATCTTCCCATATGTCACTCTCACTGTCAAGGTCACTTGATACATCGTCATCGTCCACTATTGCTCTTCTTAAAATTGAACCGAGCATAATATCATCTGCTTCAGCCATTCCGGAACGCGGTAAACTAGAATAGATGTGCATCGGCGCACCTCCGGGTGGTGGTGGCGGTGTTGCTATTGCTTTTGCACTTGAAAACGAACCGAGCATGAGGTGGTTATCTGCGTCAGCCATTCTGATACGCCGTAAAGAAGAAAGGACGGGCATTAGTGGCGGTGGCGGTGGCGGTGGTGGTGGCGGTGGTGGTGGCGGTGGTGCAGCTCCGGGTGGTGATGGTGGTGCAGCGCCTGGTGGTAGTGGTGGCAGTGGTGGGTAAGGTGCTGGTATCTTCTCATCACCTTCTTCTATCTCATAATAATCCTCAAGCGCATCTGCCATTCTACCCTTCAGACTAGACTCTACAGATTTGATCTCATCTGCACCCCTTTCCATCATGAAGCGTGCACCTTCAGACATTTCTCTTTCCTCAGTTGGCATTGAACGTCTACTTGTGGCATATAAAGACGAGCCCCGATATCTATATTTACTTCCCATGTATCCATCCTTGCCTTGCCATCCTTGCTTTGTTCTCTTTGCTGCTTCTTGCTTTTCTTTTTTGTCTTTTCCCCTCATCCAACCAAACAATGCACTCATCGGTGATTTCTTTTTCATGACTTTGGCAGATGTTGTTTTGAAAGATTCTGCCGACGCGTCGAGTGACATGGATTTTAGTTCGAGATGGTCCAGGGTGTCTTGCCTGGATGGATCCGGTAATACCGTTATTGTCACATCAACTTTTTCAGCCAGCCTGTGAGAACACCATGGGGTTATGTCAGCACGTGCTGCCTCCACCCTTTTCTTCTCCTTGTTTTTCGGCTCGTGTTTTACTGCTTTTCTACTATCCGTTTTGGCTACAGGTTTCCACATGCTGCTAGTTGGATGGATGACTGCTGTATCTGTGTGAATTATATAATATTCATAATGATTTTGAGTTCATCATGTTTACAACCTTTACAGAGAGGTGACACAAATTTAAAACATGTCAGTTTTTATTGTAATTTTGAATAACAATATTGTTTAAGCTATTAATTATTTTAGAATACGTTGATTTTGTGTTGATTTGGCAATCACTGGTCGCACAGTTCATCTTGAATTAGACCTAATAAAAGGAATTTCAAGTTTATTACGAACTGTATGTATTGCATTCGCAGCGAACACATTAAAACATATAAATGAGTGCTGGTAAAAGGAATATTTTGATAATATGTCCTTAGACATTAGCTTGCTTTGATTCCCATGATAGAACTATTAGAAAAATCATGCTATTTAAAAAAATATAAAAGGCGCAAGAACAGACACCACTCATGTTGTACATACCATGAAGCAAAGGTTGTTGCGTTTCAGGTTTGCCTTCACGTAGCATGCCATGGAGCCTGGAAGCAAAAAAAGGTACGATAACAAGTTGATCAGTTAAAACGAAAAGCGGGAAACAGTGAAATGATATCGTACAGTAGGTTTATACTGATGTTTGTGTTGGAATACCAATTATTACATATTCTAAATTGGTGTGCGTACTGCATAAGATCTCGGTTATAATATTAAACCCATTCGTCTTATATGAAAGTTTGAGACCCCAGAGCAATAGCTAATCCTAAACCTACCGTAAAGCCCAACTTAGAACCCAGTCCAACCAAAGCATTAATGCATAAGATGGATCCCCACGTCTTCACTCACTCGGAAGCTGGTCTGTATTACACATTTCCTCAATCGAAGTTACTGTTTCCTTATTGGAGCAATGTTAAGAATAATATGTTTTATAAAAGATTGTGAGATGGTTGACTAACTGAATGGCAACTTTCTCTCGAAAAGGAGATGCTTACAATTCAGAAAAGTTCAGGGCAGTTGAATCCAGCGGTCCCATTTCTTTCTCCTCCTCCTCATCTTCTTCTTCCAGATCCTGTTCAGTTACTATCAATAATAATAAGAGAATACTACTCAACATTTTGTAGTAAAATACCGAGTCTACTTATTTGAGAGAAAAACACCTTGAACAAAGGATTTTTATATGTTAAAAATAGACACTGCACATACACAAAGAACATGAAAACTCAGTTATATATCCGTTGTTTAAGAAAGATACCGAGTCTACTTATTCCAGAGAAATAAAGCCTGAACAAAGGCTTTTCATATGTTAAAGGTAATACAAAGTTTTGGGAAATTTTGAAAATTGGGTGGATAGTGATTCTTTACAATTTTGATATATTTTGATGCCTATCTGGATGTATTATAAGCACTAGAAAATTTAGCCCCAAAAACACATCAGCTTTTGAGAAAAATTGAATATCAAAATCTACCGGTGCTCCCGGTAAATTTTGATAAATTTTAGATAGCGCCTACGGCCATACAATGGTAGCTGCGACCATGAAATTCTCAGAATATGTAGTTGTGATATATAATTTCCAAACGGGAATAGCCAATCGGTCGATTATAGTCAAGAAACATTGTTTATAGTTACATTTATATTTTGACCTTTAGAGGGAGCTATACAACATAAAGTGTTAATGTTTTACAATTTCATCACTTTAGACTCGATTTCAACCGCGACAACGATCACTGAATATTGTAAGATCGCATATGCTTCCAATATGTTCATATGGGGGGGGGGGGGGGGGGGGGGGGGGGGGGGGGGGGGCACATTTTTTTTTTGTCCTCGATTTTTTTTAAATTTGCACCCCCCCCCCCCCCTTGAGCGCCAGGGGGGGGGGGGGGGTGGCCAACCCCCCCAAAGGAAAAAATCACGTGATTTTTCATGATTTTTTTTTCTCAAGGGGGGAGGGGGGCCGGGCCTCCCGGCCCCCCCCCCTGGATCCGCCACTGGTAGAGCCTACTACAAGTTCAACAGTGTTGCAAATGATACTTCTTACTACGGCAATTACACGGCTAAAGTATATGTTTTTCACAACATAAGAAAGATATGAGTTTGTTAAACCTCAACTAAGAAGAGCCAGTGTTTCATCATGAAGTATTATTGAATTCTTACCATGTGTAAGAGCAGGTTGAATCCATTGCAATGCCTGCTCTGCATCACCTTTGACCCGCACTGTGAACTTTGACATTTCCAAGCAACACTGTGAGGAAGAGGAGGACAAAGAGACAGAAATATGAAGAGAAAGGGAGAGAGGGAGAGAGAGAGAGAGAGAGAGAGAGAGAGTTAGGATGAGGGTGGATGGGAGAAGCGGGGTTATGAAGACAAAGATAGTAATTGGCAAAACACGTTATTTCTCTGATGGAAGGTTGGATTTTGTTCGATGTTTTCAAAGCAGCCAATGTCAAACGTTTTTCGGTAGACGAGAGTGAGGATTTGGGAATAATAATAGTTTATATTTGTCAGCCGATGAGAGATTGATGTAGACCATGATGAAATTATGTTTACATGTAAATAGATTGATACTACTGTCACAATTTTTTACACCCATTCGGCCGCACCAATCTCTCTCTCTCTCTCTCTCTCTCTCTCTCTCTCTATATATATATATATATATATATATATATATATATATATATATATATATATATATATATATATTACAAAAGTGACCAATCAAGATTGTCTTACTGTCCGGAAGAGGCTTTGCATGTTTGACATGTTTTCTTTAGCCATGTTGAAGGCGCTGTTGTAGTACTTCTCGGCTGACGAGTAGGAGAAATTTGACTGAGCAACTTTTGCCTGCCTGAGGATTCTTGCCACAATGCTCTCCGCAGGACCCTGAAACGGATGATTAAAAAAAAGCTGGAAATGATAATGTTCTTTTAACTTCAAAGAAATTACTTCGACATGTAGAAGTATTTAGAGAGATACTCTTTTCAGCAATGAATACGTCTCGGGAAGCATAGCTATGTCTTTTGATTCTTGCAAAACTCTTTCCAATCTGTGGTTTGAAACACAATCGGGATTCGAGCAAATTGTGGCGCACGAGATGCACTAATCATTATAAGCTGAGCAGGAATATAAAAACTTGTGTCTCAAAAAGGGGAATAATCTTTTTAGGCAAACTATTGGAAGGTTTCTAGAGATGCACTAATCATTATAAGCTGAGCAGGAATATAAAAACTTGTGTCTCAAAAAGGGGAATAATCTTTTTAGGCAAACTATTGGAAGGTTTCTAAAGAGGATCGTACACAATTACACAATGAAATATGTATCTGATATCGATATTTATACCAAGACTAATCTTATCAATGACTTGAACGTATATACACTGTTGGTCATAATGGTGGAATATTTATTTTTACCCCAGATTAGGGAAGGATTTAAAAAAATTATTTATTTCTAATAGATCTAGATAATGGCATACATTCTCAGATTTTTATTGAATATTAATTTGCGAGTGTTTATTTTGCGTGACTGCTTAATCATATGTGTGCTACTATGCTAATCAGCTAAGGGACCTACGTCCTTAAGTCATAATTGACAGTAATGAGGATTAATGCCTCACAAAAGGGCACTAATATATAGCTGATCGACACGGTTTTTATCCTGGGGCCTCACAGTAACGAGGCCATTGCTTAGCCCCCGAATCATGACTGTACGCAGTGTTTGCTAGGGTACGCGGCCCCTTCCACAAATCCCCCAAAACGAAGAAAATGCAATGAATTGTCAACAATTCATTGCATTTTCCCCCGGCCCCCAACAGGAAAAATTCCTCTGTGTGGCCATGCCTTGAACCATAATGCATGGCCCTACAGAGGAATTTTTCCTGTTGGGGGCCGGGGGAAAATGCAATGAATTTTTGACAATTTATTGCATTTTCTTCGTTTTGGGGGATTTGTGGAAGGGGCCTCGTACCCTAGCAAACACTGCGTACAGTCATGATTCAGGGGCTAAGCAATGGCCTCGTTACTGTGAGGCCCCACGATAAAAATCGTGTCGATCAGCTATATATTAGTGCCCTTTTGTGAGGCATTAATCCTCATTACTGTCAATTATTACTTAAGGACGTAGGTCCCTTAGCTGATTAGCATAGTAGCACACATAATTATGATTAAGCAGTCACGCAAAATAAACACTCGCAAATTAATATTCAATAAAATCTGAGAATGTATGCTATTTTCTAGAGGCTATCCGAAATAAATAATTTTTTTAAATCCTTCCCTAAACTGGGGGAAAAATAAATATTCCACCATTATGACCAACAGTGTATGAATACCGAGACTAAACTCATGTTTTAGCTTTTTGTTGACACTTTGGTTTTGTCCAAAAACAGAATCACAAAGACTATCGAAAAATGAAATTTAGAAATTGAAAAAGCATTAACGAACATAACGAAGACGCATTACGTAATCCGAACTTGATAGGTATGACAATAGGGTATGAAATATGGCCTATTAAAATGGATTTGTTCAGACTTCGCAATCGTGTTCTGACATTGTCTACATTCTAAATTATCACGTATAAAATATCACCTCTTGTTCCGACACAACTTCACTCCAATGCAAAGACTCCAGATCATCGCGTGTGATCATAGATAGTAACTTGTCAACGTCAGGTGAGGAGGTATCCAGTTGAGTTTCCTAGGAAACAATGAGAATTATGCAAATATTATTGTCTTAATGGTGATTGTATTAAGAAAGGATTATTTGTTCGACGGTGAACAGCTACTGTCAAATCTTAATGACTGCGAGACCACAAAGCTGACAAATTTAATGGTTCCTTTTGTTGTCTAGTCTGTGCGTGACAAAAGAAAACCTCACAGATATCCTTGTTTGTTAAGACATTGGTATACATATTAACTTTAAGATGACATTGCTACAAACTTAAAGTTTTAGATTTTGACAGAATTGTGATTTGATGTTACCTTGCAAACGTGATATGAAATAACGAGCGAATTCACCATTATGCAATGTGTTTTCTTGTTACAACTAACTTACCTTATCCCGTTTTTCGATCGCTATGAAGCTTGTGAGAGGTGTGATGATTGACAACCGGATACTGAGGTCAGTTAGATAATTCTTGAGGTCATACTTCCGGGTCTCATGAAAGACATGGTCTCGATTGAATGATCCAATCTCATAATCGCGAACGAGAGCTCTCCCTACTAGACGATGGAGAGTCTGAAAAGGGGAAATAATTATTGCAACGAGAGGGAAATAAAAAACAATATTAAGTCTTCACAATAAAATGTTAAATATACGAGAACGTAACTAAATACTTATATGACAAAGGAATTGTCCTAAATATCTTGACTTGACAGACGTAAATAATCATATTTGATTGATACACTTCTGTAAAAAAAACAATTTACACACGCGCCTGAATATGTTGCCATGATTGTCCGTGGGGAAAAAATGTTGAAATTTGTTTAAATATGAATAAACAGTCGTGATTCAATTTTTTTTATCGAAATGTGTATGAACCTGCAGTACTCTAACTTACCAAAGAAGATCCATCAAACTCGATGGGCGTTTTGAGTGATTCTTCTAAGCGTTGTCCAGCTATCTCCGCAGTGAGTTGAACCTTTATTAAACAAAATATGCGCAAAAATCACTTATTGTTGATGATATATATTTTTGAAAATATAACAAATCTTTTTTTATGTGTCTCAAGAGATAATACAATTTTTTACAAGAGCTAGAATGTTTCGGATCGTAAGTTAGTTGTTGCCGGTTGAGGCGACCAAACAACAAGAGCAACACAAGGAAATTTTGATAAGTGTTTCAGTGGTGGCACAGAATGATAAAACAATTAGTAGGCTGTAAACACCTGACAGAAAAAGAGATAACACACTCCCACACACATACAAGAGTTTACCTCTTTGACCTTTGGTCCAAGTGAGAAGAGGAGAACCTTGGATCCAGTAAAGACGGATGATGTCTGAGCTGGTACCTGGATCAGGTCCTTGGTTTCTGATCTGTGGTCCGCATTCTCCTCTGTCTGCCATGTTGCCTTCACACAACTCACAGACGGCTGGCGGCAACGGTCAATTTGGGCAGCGATCTTTAAAATGGGAGTCAATTTCGGTTACAAAAGATAATCAAAATTAGAAGTAACAAATTCAGGTCTGATAAGTAATATAATGTGACAGTTACTTGTTATCACACATTTCCAAGATTTCAGTCACCAATAATAAATAATAGCCTACTTATTTCCGAATGATATTAAGTTATTGACCGTTATTTCATCATTGTCTTTAACATTGACCTTAAATTATCAAATTCATAAGAATACCTTTCCTTCCCACTTCGATTTTGTCTTTGGGCTGAAGGACTCGAAGGCACCTCCACTGACATCAGCCAAGGCACGAAGTATGTGGCGATTCCCAGCAGAGCTGAAACAATAATTGGATAAAAAAAAATGTGGTATTAGAAAAAACAAATATCCTGACGTTATTACAGTCAAAGAAATATGGACATAATTATAACTGTCTTTATTAATTATTTTAATTCAAATTTATTTGCATGGATACTTTTTAGTTAATGGAATTCTTTAGAATTGTTGATCAATCAGGGATCAAAACTGTAATTTCTGTCTGGAATTATTCACTCTTGTAAATCAACAATAGTGTCATTACACTTTTTATTTTTATGTTTGACAAATTCAGATATAGATTGCAATGATCATCGAATAATTACCTAACAGCGCATGTGAATATTCTGTTAACGTGCTTATACTTGGAGGCAATTTCCAAAGTGAGTTTCTCGTTGGTGAGATGACCGTCGGATACAAGGAGAACGTTTCGCGCCGAATTCATCATGGGTAGAAGCGAGAGTGACCGGAGAGGGCGCCACGCTTCTGAGCTACCGCCAACTGATCTGGCACCTTCGATGAACTCTAAGGCTTCAAGAAGCTGACGTTGGCCGACAGGTTCAACGGTCGGAAAGAGTTCGGTGAAATCTATGGGCAAAAACCACGGACAAAAACAGTTTCATTTTTGTTTAAACGTTCGAGACTATTCTGAGGAAGCAACAATTAGCTGATGAATCATCACGATAGTTCAATGCAACTAACCTGTGCCGAAGGTGATGACATTGAAACGGCTTTTCTCTGGTAATGACTGAAGAATCATTTTGCAAATCTTTTTCGCATCCTGTTTAGGCTCTCCTTTCATTGAAGTCGAGCAGTCCAACAAGAGAACTACTTCAGGATCAGCAACCAATTCGGACTGGATTGTAGGGCAGAAGACCGCCATACTAGCCTTTGGATTATAGAGTATGATATCATATCGTTATTTATGTTTGCTTCAAATTCTTTAGCTCCTTTTGTCCATATTACAAGCCTTCTACATAATTTTTACAAGATTATTTTTAAAGGGTTTCTATTTAATGTACAACGTAGTTAACATTTTGCAGCTTTAAAAACGTGGAATGATTTGATGAGAGCTTGTCATAAATCGTAAGTTGCGGAGACATTTTTTTCTCGATTTCCATAACATTGACCGTACAGCTCTGAACTAACTCCGACAAAAAACAGGCGAGTATTAACAAAGAAAAATATGTAAAAGTCTATCAGTCCAGCGACAAAACTAAAATGCAATACTTTATTATTACGAAGTTCCGTTATAATAACTTACATATGAATTAGATGACGGATCAAACTCAGTCCAGAACCTTGGTGCGTTCTGATGGATAATGCTAATAAGCAGCTGGAAACCATCACCGAGTTGGACTCCATCCCCCAAAGTAACCGTAGCCTTCATCTCCTCCCGCTATCAAATAAGGACAGTGAATCACACATTAAAATTAATAATTCATAGTGTTGGTTGTCTTTGAGTCTCCATCCTTATAAACGGGCGACACCATTACAAAAAAAAGAAGAGATGTTCTCAGCTTAATAACGTTGAAAAAATATTAATCTCACAACTCGATACGAAAGTGTGACTTGAGGATTCTGGAATGTACTGTTGTTTTGAAAGTGTAAAACATGTGGAAAAGGACTTGAATTGTCATCCACTCCCATGATTGACACCCACTTTGCTATGAACTTGCAGCATTTCTTGTCAAAATCTTCTTATGAGTATCATTTAAGCCATCCGGGTTTTATGCTTCAAAAGCTTTGGGAACTGCATTCATGTATTTTGGTAAAGAAACTATTTGTAATATGCTCGCACTTTGTATTCGACTTGCTGTTTGCCTTATAATCTACTCGCGTTTGGCTCCTATAATAATTATGAAAGGTAGATGGTCAACGAAACGTAGTAGAGCAATGATGAACGTAGACCTACCTTTACTTTGACCACATGAGTCGGTGATTCAACTGATGTGATACTTGATGGCATCTCCATTGTTATCTGAAGAGACTCCTTCCTTTAAAATGAACGAAATTTAAAAAAAAAATCACAAGGAAGACGTTATGTTTAGACATGATTAAATAAGGTCATATATTCCTCTGTGACCCATACCTAACAATGTACTTTATCGCCAACACACGCAAACGCGCGCGCACTCACGCATTTTATCTATTTTCTTATCCTTCATCCCATATCTCTTTATATATCTCTCTATTCGTTTCTTTAGCTCTCCCACTCTATTCCGATTATTTATCCCTCTCTTTCTCCCTCTTCCCCTTTCTCCTCTCTGTCTGTCTGTCTGTCTGTCTCTTTATCTATTTATCTATCTCCCTATCTATCTCCCATACATCTTTATCTCCGCGTATTTATCTCTATTCCTCTCTGTACTTCTCTATCTCTTTATATATATATTTTTTTCCTTTTCTTTATCTCTCCCATTCTATTTCCACCTCTCTCTAACCCTCTCCGATTCTCTCTATCCCCTTCTCTCTATCTCTCTCCCTCTCTCTCTCTCTCTCTGTTATAATTTTATTCATTATAATCCTCCACATATCGTATTCTATGGTGGCCCTGAAGGGACATCGCGAATAGACTAAATCGTGAAAAATATGCGATAAAATTCACGATATCGTCAATTTTATCGCATATTTTTCACGAAGAAATTCACGAAATTGACGATATCGTGAACTTTATCGTGAACTTTTCACGATGAAATTGACGATATCGTGAATTTTATCGTGAAAAGTTCACGATATAAAGTTCACGTTATCGTCAATTTTATCGTGTACTCTCCTGACGGGCGCTTCGTAAACAAAACCAGCCCTAGCTGGGGAAGACAGAGAGAAGGAAAAAAGGGAAAGGGAAAGAGAAGATAAAAGGAAAGAAAGAATAATAAGAAGAAAAGAGGGAAACGGGGGGGGGCGAAGGGCTCTTGCCTCCTCCTCACTCCCCCCCCCCCCCCTCCCCGCCAAAAAATAAATCAGAGAGAGAGAGAGAGAAGGGAAAGGGAAAGGGAAAGAGAAGATAAAAGGAAAGAAAGAAGAGGAAGAGGAAGAAAAGAGGAAAACGGGGGAAGGGCGAAGGACTCTTGCCTCCTCCCTCCCCACCCCCCGCCAAAAAAATAAATAAGAGATAGAGAGAGAAGGGAAAGGGAAAGGGAAAGGGAAAGAGAAGATAAAAGGAAAGAAAGAAGAGGAAGAAGAAGAAGAAAAGAGGGAAACGGGGGCGAAGGGCTCTTGCATCCCCCCGCCCAAAAAATAAATAAGAGAGAGAGAGAGAGAAGGGAAAGGGAAAGAGAATAAAAAAGGAAAGGAAGAAGAATAAGAAGAAAAGAGGGGCTCTTGCCTCCTGCCCCCCTCCCGCGCCAACAAATAAATAGGAGAGAGAGAGAGAGAGATAGAGAGAAGGGAAACGGAAAGGGAAAGAAAATATAAAAGGAAAGAAAGAAGAAGAAGACGGAAAGAGGGAAACGGGGGAAGGGCGAAAGGCTCTTACCTCCCCCTCCCCCCTCCCGCCATAAAGGGAAAGAGAAGGGAGAGGGAAAGAAAATATAAAAGGAAAGAAAGAAGAGGAAAAAGAATAAGAAAAGAGGGAAACAGGGGCGAAGGGCTCTTGCCTCCTTTCTTTTCTTTCTTTTCCTTTCTTTCCTATTCTCCCTCTTTTTCGGGGGGGGGGAGGGGGGGGGGGCAAGAGTCCTTCGCCCTTCCCCCGTTTTCCTCTTTTCTTCCTCTTCCTCTTCTTTCTTTCCTTTTATCTTCTCTTTCCCTTTCCCTTTCCCTTCTCTCTCTCTCTCTCTGATTTATTTTTTGGCGGGGAGGGGGGGGGGGGGAGTGAGGAGGAGGCAAGAGCCCTTCGCCCCCCCCCGTTTCCCTCTTTCCTTCTTATTATTCTTTCTTTCCTTTTATCTTCTCTTTCCTTTTCCCTTTTTTCCTTCTCTCTGTCTTCCCCAGCTAGGGCTGGTTTTGTTTACGAAGCGCCCGTCAGGAGAGTACACGATAAAATTGACGATAACGTGAACTTTATATCGTGAACTTTTCACGATAAAATTCACGATATCGTCAATTTCATCGTGAAAAGTTCACGATAAAGTTCACGATATCGTCAATTTCGTGAATTTCTTCGTGAAAAATATGCGATAAAATTGACGATATCGTGAATTTTATCGCATATTTTTCACGATTAAGTCTATTCGCGATGTCCCTTCAGGGCCACCATAGTATTCTCCCTCTACTATAGTAACGCGTACAACTACGTCTGGACATCGATACAACATTACTATCCCCATTCTCCAAAATAACTACACCCGACCAGTAGGTAGTGTGTTAGGAAGCTGGTAATCACTTTATTGTGGTTTTATAAAAGCTGTAATTGTCCGGGGGTAAGATCGAGTCCGGGGTGTTTTTCCGGTGTATAGAGAAAAGAGAGGAATAATGGTCATCAATGACAGTCTCAATTTTTCCCAAAATAGAAAATCCCTTTTCAAACTTAATTAGAAAACTAACTGAATTGAAATAATTCATTTAAATGAAGATTAAACTTCAATTTCAGTTTTGAAGTGTTAAATAGCAATCCAAATATTATTTGTCTTTGATTGATGATCATTATTCAATAGAATGTGTATAGTTTTACCTTTCGGTCTCATTTGATGCAACTCCCGTCAATGCCTGAGTTTCCTCTGTAAGCTTTGTACCGCGAATTTCTTCTTGTAACCAAGGAGCAACGCTTCCCAGAAGATAGAAAGCCATCTTGCCCCCCTCCTCTTCTGCCAGTTCAGTGACGTATGTTATCTTGATGACCACTCTTGCACGAGGAGGGAGATTGCCGATGCTCACCGAAAACACGTTCTTGATGGAAATAAAACAAAATTATGAATAATTTTCAGTCCGCGATCAATAACAATGTCAGGCGGATCATTAAAAGTGGGAAAATATGCCCATTGTAATTCCTAAAAAGTCTCAGTCTTATGGCTCTTTCGGCAGTGCCTTTGGAAGGAGAGGAGGGTAAAAACTCTCCAGAAACTCTCATTAGGCCGGCCAGGAGGGGGAGGGGGTGGGAGGGGGAGGGGAGGTGGGACAAAATGTTTTCCTTATGTTAAATTCTTCCTGGGGATGGGGTGCTGTTGCCGGGTTTTTTTTACGGCGATTAAGCATAGCAGGTAACTGATTACTATAAATACATACGGAAGCTTCTTCTTGCATCAGGTATGCTCCATGACCCTCTCGTACAGCCTCCTGATATTCTTTCTGTGCTGTCTCTTTGGTCTTCACCGTACCCACTACATGTTTGTCGTTGATGAATGCTTCAAAGCCACATACAGCTGCCTTCTCGTCCAAAGGAAACACGTATCGAGCTTCTCGAATGTTCGTCTCTGAAATCTGGCTCTGGTAAACTTGTAGAACTGTGATCTATAACCAAGGAATGGGGAAAATGTCATCCTGGTCATGGATTAGTCAAACTTACGTTTTAACAGTATTGTTTTCCGCCCATGGTTCTGTAATGACAATCTACAAACTTCTTATCATACCGGTATCTTTAAAAACTTGAACAACTCTAGAACATAAGTAAAAAGATGATGGATAAATATTTCAAATGGTGTACTAAATGGGCGACATTCTGCTTGAAGCCAGTGACGGCTATAGGAAATTGAACATAAGTGTGAGGTATATTGAAGTATTGCAATCAGCAATGATTCAGGGGGCTTCAAAAGGATTGGGATGGGAGACGTACTCCGATGGCATCCTATGCTACATATTATATTTAAGTGGATAGTTGTCGGAACGGACACCCGAGAAGCTTCAAGAGGAAAATACAGTTTTTGTCTGGATACTGTCCATATTATAACCGCCGTTCGTCCCGTCTAATGTGTTTCTTTAAGGAACAGCAATATGATTCGAAGTGAATTTTGGTGAAGCATCTTGTTATACCTTCGCTGCAAGATCAGTAATGTGGCCTCTGACATGAACTTCTTCAAGTATGACGCCCTCTCTGCTGTTGGCTACAACTAGACCTGTGGTTGTCCTGCTGACAGGATCCTGACAGCACTGTACGTCGACAAGATCTAGAAATTAAGGAGAACACTGTATCAAACTAAAAATGTATTTGAATTCAGCTCTAACTGGAAGAAACTACATGATGATATTGTAGACAATTTAATGTGTGGACGTTGTTTCGAAAGAATATAAACAACTGGAAAAGAGAGATTAGGAAGAAAGGGACAGATAAATCGTTACTTCTCATACACAGAAGAAGATTTACAAACCATGTATATAAAACAGGCCATGAGTTATAGGACATACTCAGCAATTGAATAATTCTTGTATTCGTTAGCGGGGTTTTTCTTCTTCATTTTACCAAAACCCGTTAAAAAGCTTTTGAATTTGTAAATCATTTATCACTCTTTGACCTACGCGGTTACAGAAGGATATAATATGCACAAAATAATGTGCAGGTAATTCAAATGAAAAGAAATAGAATATATATTATAACAGACGAATACAAACCAATTTTGTCTAAGGTTTCTGTTGTTTCATCTACGTTTCCCACCCCGTCGTCTTCACCGTCATCCTCGTCATAGGCGTAGCCATCGACCACATCATCATCGCCATCAATGCTGAACTCGACGAGATAACGAATGCATTGTTGCTTGGTCGAATAAACAACAAATTCGTCTTCCTAGGGACGAAAATACAAATTATGGACAAGATTATTGTTACATCATTTGGTCGACCTATTGAGATGTTTATTAAAAATACATTGTCCTATATACCCTCCCGAAGAACAATGAGCGTTATCAAATGAAATAGAATTGGGTGGTTCCCCTTTCTCCTTCGAAGTCCAAGAAACATAATATCTTTTTAAAAAATGCAATGGAGCTCACATTTTAACACCCCCCCCCCCCTCGGGGGGGGGGGGGAAGGATCGATCCGCCCTATTTATCAATTTCTCTAGCAAAAATGTCTCATATGTCAAGTTATTAATCTTCGTAATAATTAATATATGTTTCTACTATCACAAAATAAAACGAAGAAAATCGTAAAGGCACTAACCTTGAACTCTGAAGGCTTGTTTTCTGTAGCACGAACACCATGTGTGCTCTCGAAGCCTTCGGGTGCCTGTTGCATCTTGGTGTTAAATTCATAGTAGTCTTGAGTGGATCCGAGAGCGACCCTGATGACAAGCATCATCCTCGTCTGAGAGAAGTATCCGTTTTTTGTGTACTGAATGCATGTGCTAGATGATATATGATCATAGTATGATGAAGCCCAGCCTAACCTCTTTATATGTTTCAATTTGTTCATTGAAAATACATTTATGTATATCTATTTTAAATGTAATATGTACAGTGCTTCTGCAAGGTGATGTGATGAGACTGGTGTGGGAAACTTAAGATGATCAAAGCATGAGTGTCTGGATCTGCATTTTTTGTGAATATACTTAAGCAACACGTCTACACATTAAGTCTTATATCGTTCATTGTATAGTTTATATAGTCCTGCACATCATGCAAATCAGTAAACATATCTTACAAAGAGCTTTAACAGTTTTGTTTTTGAAACACACTACCTTGTCTAAAACTATTTCAGAATACTTCATTTTCTTGATGTTATCAGAAGAAAAAGTATATTATTGTCACATATCAACACGATCAGTATTCAAGTTTAAGTTCAAGTTTTATTTCCACATCTGATTTTAAAAACACAAGTACAATTTATATGCATATATATACATTAACAAACGTTAAAATGAAACATCTTCAATTTAAATCATAATGTGGTTGGAAAAAACAAAGGCCGATGGCCTTTCAAGGTTATTCCCAAAGATAATAAAATTTACATAAAAAGTTTCTTAAATTTATTTTTAAAAAACGAGATAAAAATATCAAGGTTAAAATAACACAAAGCATCAATAAGCAAAACTAAACCGGACAAATCCATTACAAAAGGACAAGAGACAGAAAAGGCATTTATGTAAAAAATAATCGTAATTATACATATTCATTTACAAGATATTTCTTAAGTTTTCCTTTAAAAATTGATACTGTTGGGCATATTTGGAGTTCTTTGGGTAGTTTGTTCCATAACTTTGGTCCGGCATACATTGGCAGGTGTAAAAGATTTGATTGACGAGTTTCATAATTATTCACATTTCTATTACAAATAAAACAATCATCTAGAAACTTTGGAAGTATATTTTTAGAGTAAGAAAACATAAAGATACCAATCTGTTGCTTATGTATATCATAAATTGTTAATATACTATGTTTTTTTAAATATTGTATAGTTTTAAATAAATACCTTGTTCGATCACCAAAGTATAGACCGGGACCAAGTAGCCCCTCGTCACGGCGTTGTCCGTTAAACATTTCCACCACAACCTTGGGCATAAGGAGACCCCTTGTAGGAATAAAACAAATTTATACAAGCGGGGAAAAAATAATCGTGAAACATATTTTAATAATAATAATAATAGTACATCAGATTTATAAGGCGCCAAATGCACTTGACAATCAAATGCTCAAGGCGCAGACACACCTTTTTGACATGCATTTGTTTCAAAGTTGTAAATGCCAAGTATAAAGTAAATCAAGTCTGGAAAATTTTAATATGTTTTCACTTAAATCCTTCTTTGGCTGACTGGTACCTGATACCAAAACATGTTTTGCTTAGCAATGTTTAAAAGGAGGAAATCCTTGCCAATTTTAAGAAGGCAGCCCTCTCCGTTCGAAGGACCCCTTCCTTGGCATTTTAATACTTTGTCCCCTCCCATTCACTACATCCCTACTTTCCAACACCCCTCTACACCCTACACCGTCTCCACCCTGCACCATCTCCTCCCCAACACTCTCTTCACTCCAAGCCCCTCATTATCCCTACTCTTTCTCCCCAATTTATAATGGTTTAAAATCTGGACAACATACCAAGTAAATTGTTTGCTTTGTAGCATGAAAGAATGTCCCTTGACACTTCTTACCCCTTCCCATTTACTCCCTGATTATATTACAACCCTCCCCATTCAACTCCCGCTCTACCCAACTAAAATGAGTTAATACCTGGATAAGATCCCAAGTACGTTGTTCGGCTTGGTGGCGTGAAAGAGTAGTGTATCATTGCCAATGTCGTGAAGGTAACCCTCTTCGTCAGGGGGTCTACTAACTGCGTAGATCCGGAAGGTGTTTACTTTCATCTCACTTAAACAAAAAACAGAAAGATAATGAAATGAAAAACAAAAAACAATTTTAGAAAATAAGACAAAGATTCCGTTCATCACACACTCATAAAAGCGAGATGGAAAGATCTCCATATTATGTCGAAATGATTGTAACAGTGGCGTCTCGTTGCTTGGCAAAGTCATAGAGTTGGTGGTTGAGTTTGGGAGTGTCCTTGCCTAACAAAGAGGTTGAAATGCAAGGGAGCAGAGGAGAGACTTTGGGAAGATTTGTTATTCTCAGTCGTTTAAAAACAGACCACTTGGTAAAGCATCGGCAGAGGGTGACGAAAACTTCGTCATGCTTATACTACGCAAAATATAAATATCTGTTCTACGTTTACTTTTTATTTTGTCCAAAATAATTTCCCCATGATGATGTTAATTGGATTAAACCCGAAATTACTTCATGAAGTGAACATTATAAACTTATTTCCGAATAGAATGATGACATCGTATCCGGACATCCACCCCCGGATAACCACCCCTAGGATAACCACCCTCTAGGACAACTACCCCCTAGGACAACTACCTTACCCCCTAGGACAACTACACCCGAACATCTACCCCCAGACAACTACCCCTCGGACAGTTGTCCGGGGGTAGTTGTCCTAGACGATGGTTGTCGTAGGGGGTAGTTGACTGGGGGTAGTTGTCCGGGGGTAGTTGTCTAGGTGGTAGTTGTCCCAGGGGGAAGTCGTCCTAGAGGGTGGTTGCCCTAGGGGTAATTGTCCTAGAGTGTGGTTATCCTAGGGGTGGTTGTCTAGGGGGTAGGTGTCCTAGAACCTGATGACATACCTAGGCATAGTTGATTGGACTAGTGTCTTGATCTTCCCATACTCTGGATGATCGGGTGGTAGATGTTGGATGTAGCATCGAAGAGCTCTGTACTTGGCTTCAGGCGTGGGTCGTTTCTGCCATCCCGTCTCCTCGCTGATGTATACCGCATCTCGAATCATCTACTCAAAACAGGGATTAGATATAGATTTAAAAAAATGGAAAGGGTACAGATAGAGAGAGAGGGGGTGATGGGGAATAAGGGTGAATGATGGGGAAGAGAAGGATGGTTTAAAGATTTAGGAAGAAAAGAAGAAGAATGAGGACTATATGAATATTATCAAGGTTATATTATTCTATAGAATTATCTTGTATTTGAATGTTTCATACCTCGTTTGCTAGTCAGTCAAGTATACCTTCTATATAATGATAGATGGAGGTGTCGTAGGCTGGTGGTCTATTCACTTATCTCTCAATCCAAGGGTTGAGGGTTCGAATCCCTGCCAGGTACTAACGTCCTTTGGCAAAACATTCATCCACATTTGCCACACTCCACCCATGTGTATGATTGGGTACCTGGCAATGCTGGGGTAATACTAATTGCAGTGCCCGTATGAGGAGCAGTATTGATATTCATGGGGCTACCCTGTGTGAATATGAACCAATCATTATTATCATTTATCTTCAAATACAGGGGCACTTATCAATATCGAGGGGCATTTCCCGACCCCCTTACTCTGGTCTCATGAATCGCCCCAAATTAAGTTGGTGTGATTTCCCTTTGCATAAGAGTCCGATTGTCTTTTTCAAGAGCAAGCAAGTAAGTTGATTAATTCATTTTGTATTGTTCCTCAGATACAAATGAAAGACAAAACCACAAATATTCTTTTAAAAGAATGAGCCGATCAACCTTTAAACATCCCAAAATTCTTACTTGACATAGGTCCAGCTTCGTTGCGACTTTGCTCAACAGTCTGATCGAAGATTGCATGTAATCGTGATGAGGAATGAGGGCGTAAAACTCCTCCTGAAGAGTCTCTATTTCAGCATCCGATATTTCGTCGTCGTATTCGTCATATTCGTCACCTTGATGTTTGCCTTTCCTCTTCTGTAAGATATTCCACATCTGATAAAGAACAGCTTCTGCCTTTGCAACCTGACAAAATAATTCAATTAGGAAACGTTTCCTTATTTTTGACATCGGCATAGTAATCATTTCGATTTGATATATAGATAATTATGACATCAGTTACATTTCTTGGTAAATATGTAATATTCTCTGATTGTGTTAGCTTAAAAAGTGAATAGGCATAATTGAAAACGTACTACATTACCTTAAGGTCGAATCATTATAAATTAAATTATTCCGATATATATTTTTCTTTCAAAAATGGGTGATGAGTTTAATTTTTACACTGGCTAAAGAAGCTGACGAACGATTTTTCCTTAGCAAAGTAATGCATTCTTTCACACATTTTATGATTTCTCAACAGTTCAGATATGGATTCCATCCACGGTATAATTCATGTAGAGGATTCGTCAGAAATAATGGAAGAAGTTGAGGTGTGTCACCCCTATTTAAACTTTTTGGGGGTTTAAGAATTCAAGAACCTTTATAGGCCCATGTGTATTCTTTCCATGCACTTATCGACACATACTTGTCCAGGAAGAATCGATGCCACAGGGACCGCTAGATGTTCTTTGAGTTTCCCCATCGCTTCCTTCCAAACATTGTCCACCAATTTGGCCACCTCTGGTGATAGACCCTGTGTCGGTGAGTAGGTTTCTCGGTACAGAAGGGTCTGAAAAGAGAAGAAAAAAGTATGAAAAACTATATGTAGTATGATCTTAAATACCTAAAATATAGACTCTTGCAATTTGCAGGCTAGCATTCGTTTTACTTATTTCTATGTCGTGATCTTATTTTTTTTTATTAAAAAAAAGGCTTTATAAAAGGAATATTGGAGGATGACGAGAACAGAGAATACGCTAGTGTGTGGAAATATAGAAGTACAACATTAATACAGAGACAGTTTGTAGAGGTGTTAGGGGTATAACGGTTCATTTATATCACTATCGATCATAAGGTTAAAGGTTCGAATTCCAGCCCAGAACTAACGTTATCTGTAGGTATTAATGTGCATTTTACCCTCTTCACCCTGATGTAAGTAGGTACCTGATTTGCTATAGTGAGCGCTATAGTTACTTCGGCAATATTCGGAGGCTTAGCTGAAATAGGGGTAATAATGTAAAAGCGCCGGATTTGAGCGATATACGTTTCCTAGATGTTTAAATTTCATTTCAATGTTCCCTCTTCTCTTCATCTTCAGCTACTATTAACAACTATTATAAATATTACAATCAGCTACCTATTTGCCGTTTTTCTTCATCATGTCATACTTATATTCCATCATCTTTGGTCTTTCTCTTGGGATGGTCAGACACCATCCCAGCTTTACCTATGAAAGATAGGTTATACCACCTACACCACTTTCCGGAAACCGAAAAAGTTGATGGACATTGGTTATCAACGCTTGTTAATTTTGTAAAACTTTTTGAATGGAATTTTGATGGAATGTACAAGAACTGAAGGACTTATGGCGGTTTTGAAAACCTTTTCAACAATAATAAATCACGAGTATACCTTTCTCAATGCTTCTGAACCAATCCATCGTGAGTTACTGACAGACGAGACTGGTACCATAGATGCCCTACCATCTCCTGATGAAGTATGTTGCTTGTAAAGATCCTCATAGATCTGCAAAGCCTCCTCGGCCGTAGATGCATAGCGGCACTCTCGATCTCCGCTCTCTTCATCCTGGTAATTGATTGGATGGCCAAAACAGAGTGATGATTTCTGTTTTTTAGTTATACTCGTTTTTGTTTAGTAACTCAAGTTATCAAGTCAATGAAAATGTTACATGGTTGCCAAAGTCTAATACAATCCCTAACTGAATGCCTAACCGTATGAGGTCCGAGTCATTTACGCTAATTTCTGTGCCCTGTCTGTTTGGAGTAAATGCAACATGGTACAAAAGGTTGTGGATCAATGAAAACTTTTTTAAAATTCCAACTTACTAAATCTCCTTTTGTACCATTATGTAGTTTACAATGTATATTATCGGCCTATGGCTGTAAGACGTCATGACTTTGTATGTTCGAAATATAAGATGGTTGGCTATCTACTCTGGATTCGATTGTCTTGAGAAAAATGTATCATTTTTAAAACCTCATTGGTAAATCCATGATATACAATGATGTACATGATGATTTATTGTTATGACAGTCCCACGTAATTATTATTAAGATCAAAACCATTAGATACGTGTCGTAAATGGATAATTGAATCATAATTTTCATATTCAAAGTTGATGATTGCCACTTTCGGTCATCATCCGAAATCGAACGAACAAAAACAATTGTAACTTTCATGGTTATTCTTAAACATTTTTTAAAACTTTCCAGTGAATCAATTTTGTTCGGAGTAAAACCACTTACCGTTGCTGTTCCTGTTGACGTCAAATGGGTCACCACTTTAAAGGGAAAGTCTTTTATTGTAGAAGTATCAGTTCCATCGGTTTGATCACCGGATGCCGATGATGTCAATTTGGATGGAGTAATGTTTCTTTGGATCTCAACGGAAAAGACACGAGCATTTCCGGGGGCAGCAGGATGCGTTTCCTGAACAGATGTATTGAAAACATAAAAAACAAAATGATGAACGAAGAAAGCTGTTATCAATTTTATCAGTTTAGAGATACAATCATAATCAAAATTCAGTAAAACTATGTATCCCCAGAGAAAATATTTTAGAAGCGTCATGTGACCTTTTTTTATACCGTTCTGGCGGAAGTGTTTTATTTCGAAATGATTCCGGGATTGCTGACTGTTTGTCAAGGGGTGCATTTGTTGATTCTTTTTATCTCAACGGAAAAAACCCGATTGTTTTCAGGGCTAACATATTGTGCAATAATAGAGGTAAATGGCAGGCCTATAAAATAGCATAAAGTGTCCTATAAGAACATGAGTGTTGTCTAGACAACACACGTTAAATTGAATAATAAAAAACAACTACAATTTAGAAATGATGTAAAAAATGAAATCAGCGATACCAGCTTTTTGAGTAAATCTGATCATAATCTACAGAAATGGAGGGCCATGACTAACGATGTATGTAACAGACTTGGCCTTATAGGCCTTATATGATGATGATGATGTCATATCCATTACTGACGGTTCGTCAGGGGCCAGGGTGCAATGCACTATTTCTTGTATCTAAACGGAAAAGATCTAAGTATTTCCGGGACTAAAATATTGTGCAATAATAGAGGGAAAGGGTACGTTTATAAGATAGTATAAAGTGCGCTATAAAAAGTATCACTAAAGAATACGAGTGTTGTCTAGGCAGCACACGTTGAATTGAAACGAGAATAATTTTTGTTATAGTATACATGTAGGTCTATACGAGTTTAGGGATCATGAGCCAAGAGAAAGGAGTCGAAAGAATAGACTCTTGAAAGACGTATTTAGTAGCCTTGTCACGCGAAACCAGCAGTTTTCTATATGAACTAAATTAAATGAAAAGAAGAAGAGTGGCTATAGAGGTGACGTAGAAACAGGAAGTATTGGCCGGGGCACGTGAAACCCAATGATTGAGAGAGAGAGATAGAGAGAGAGAGAGAGACAGAGAGGGGGAGAGAAAGAGAGAGAGAGAAGAGAGAGAGAGAAAGAAAGAGAGAGAGAGAGAGAGAGAGAGAGGGGGGGGGGGGTAGTGCTCTTGATTTCGTCTGGAAATACATGTACCTTTTTCCAGTTTACACTAAGGGATATCACTTAAATTTTGTCATTATAATATGCAAACTTTACCAAAAAAGAAAAAAAGAAAACACAAATATGAAGACATAAAATCGAGTGCAGGTTAAATTAACCATTCCATGACGAAACATGACGATCGGGATTCGTTCATCTGCCAACTTCGTCTAGGATAATAGTTAATACCTATCGATTTTAATCCATGTCATCCCAAAACCGCAGTTTGCTCAGAAAAAACCCATGGTTACCGATCATGAATGATAGGTTCAGGGCTGTTGTAATCTAGTCTGGCTTTTCCGCTGGTATTCTAAGTAACGCTCAGCGATTTGACCCGTTTAAATTAAAGCTGAAACGCCTATGAGTTCAACGCAAATGACAACTTGCTCGATTGCACTATGATTATGGCCATATTCCTAACCTTTAAAAAAAACGTTCTTATAAAATAATTCATTCTTACTTGAAGAACTGCTTTCTTGACCAACTGTTCCTGCACTGGTACGATGACTGGTTCGTCGATCCTATGAAATCGGTAAACGAATATGATTTTTTTTCCCCCATAAATATTATTATGAATAAAGTTAATCGCTATGACACTTTCATCAATTACCTTTTTCGTTTTAGAACATAATACGTAATCTCCTTACACTTTCTTACATTATTTCAGCCGTGGTGGGTTTCTCTTTTTTCATATCATGTCTGAATGTCTTGAACGTATTGTTTATATTATGTATGTCAAAGTCATAAATCGGAACAATTGCGACTGTAATATTCCTTTCTAACATAAAGCACTGTCTATTTTGTTGATTCTAATTCTTGTATTGAAGTACTTTTACTTTTAGATTCAGATTGTACTAGCATTTACAGATCTATCTGGAAAGAATAATATAATTATTGACTCACCAGGGCCGATTTGTACTGATGATTGACGTCGCCATGTTGATTTTCGAGTATCGACCTTACCCTGTATGACAATGACAGAAGGGGAAAAATGATATAATCTGATAAAGTGCTAAGCCAGGTGTACTGGCCAAAGAGAAAGACCGGCCCCCTCTCCATAAATACAATTCATTCATTACTCATATTTATTGATAAAATGATTGCTGTAAAAAGATTTATTGTCATCTAGATTCATTCCTACGTCCTTCATTTTTTCGTATATAATTATCTGGAAGCATATTTATTGGTTAAATAACGAAAGGGAAACATGAAGATGCAATATACACGTTTGTTTTGCATACGATAATGTCTTTGCATACCAATGCAATATACTATTTTTGTATATTAATGCAATAAGTATCCTTACTTGCATGATGTATTACAGAACATAATTATACAAGACATAGAAAACGTGTTAACATTTTACCACTTTGATCATGATAATACAATTTTTTTAAACAGGTTTTTTTTCTTCAGTATTGACTTAAAATGTTTAATCCAAGATTGACATTGATATTTACATTGATATTGCAATGCATTTCCATGGATACGTTTGCCGAGTATTACAAGTATTACAAGTAGGTTGATATCCTCCTTTAACCGAAATGTTGATTTAACCTCTTTGCTAACAATGCATATATTTACATTATGTTTTACACTACAATATCCGAAAAGAGGAAATTGCCGGTGAAAAAGGAGAGAGAGAGAGAGAGAGAGAGAGAGAGAGAGAGAGAGAGAGAGAAGAGAAAGAGGAGAAGTGTATCTTATATCTTTGCATATTTATTCCACCAATAGTGGGCCGAAAATCCAAATTTGAAAGAATATTATATATTCAGGTGTATTTCTAGTTAAGCTCCGTGATATATAGGCCTGAAAGAATAGGCCTTGATAGGTGTAATATGGTGCCGCAAAGACAAAGTCAAAACAAGATTGAATGCTTACCTTTGTCGACAATAGTCATCTAGGCACAGCAGACGACGACCGAACGAAACAATCATTCACTGCACCGTGGCCGGTTATAAATTAATGAACCTCAATTCAGATCTAATATTTCATATCATGCAGGCGAAGAGAATTTACCCCCTTTCTGCTTGGCGATGTGCTTGATACATTACTGCAGAGACAATAATGAGTACTTTTACGTACACATCCGTATGTTTGTGAAATCAGAAACGTTCTGTAGGCTACTGTATATAGTCGACGTACAGAAAAGTGCTGACAACCGAACCACGAACTATAGTAAAGACAAACTTCAGTATCCGATGCGTCATAATTATATCCGGGTATGAAATTTTGTACTTTGACTCTATAGTATCAAGGCCTTCGCTCAACTGAGCACGGTCAGAATCATATGGAAATATTATATTGTGATAGATACTTAGGATTTGTATATCATGCAGCATCATACCATCAGTTCTTTAGTCAAGCTATAGATCACATTTTCAACCCCTTCTGTCTTTAGTCACGGCACCCTTTTAGGATGTATACATATAGACGTACGGACATTTTCGCTTTAGGGCCGTGAATCGAAGGCCTCTTGCCCGAAAATATGCTATCTGGATCTGAAATATTGCGAGCGACCGCCGAAAAATTGCACTTTTTTATTATGGAAAAAATGTAAATAATATACACAGAGGCGGCCCTCCATGGGGGGCAGGGGGCACAGTGCCCCACTTTTTAAAGCACCCGAAAAGTGCCCCTTTAACTTTGGAAGAAGTGCTTCTTTTTACATAGGAATAGTGCCCTTTTACAAGAAGTGCCTCGTTTCACTTTTGATTAGTGCCCCCTTCACCTCTGATAATTGCCCTATTCAAATGAGAGGTGCAACTTTTACTTTGACAAGTGCCCCTTTTCCTTTGTAATAAGTGCCCCTTCCCCTTTTAATAACTACCCCCATTTTAACTCGGAATTTTGAAATTTGAAAATTTGACCAATCGGCATTCCGTTCCGTTTGGGGGGGGGGGGGGGGAGGGGGTAAGGTCATCATTTTTAGGTCATCCCCCCAAAAAAAATTAAAAAAATAATAATCAAAAAAATAATCAAAAATCAAAAATCAAAAATCGAAAATCGAAAGGGGGGGGGGGTTCCCCTTAAAAATACACATTACAAAAAAAAAGGAAGGGGGGAGGTAACCCTAACCCCCCCCCCCCCCTGCGTACGCACCTGATATGGGGTGTTTATTAATGGACCTCTCTGTCTGAAACTCTCCAGTTCCTAAAATTTGAGAGCCTTAGCTGCATCAAAATACCCAGATCTTTTCATTATATTTGGGCATCTTGGAGCCTTCCTGAAGTTGACGTTTATTCCAAACTATACTTTAATATATTATGTTGAGATTTTGGGTATACGTATTTAACGTTCAATAAAATAATAATAATAATAATACATACTATTTGTAAGGCGCCAAATCCACTTGACAAACAAAAGCTCAAGGCGCAGCTTGTGCAAAAGATGAAATACATGTAAAATATATACAAACAAATTAATGTGCAATAGGAAAGATACATGAAAGGTAATGGTAATCAGTTATAGGCTAAATTAAACAAACAGATACTTCTTCAGATTGTTTTTAACACTTCACCAGAACTGCTATTTGTAATCCATCGAGGGAGAGTATTCCATAATGAAGGCCCAGTACTTTACTGTAACCCTAGGAATAACAAGTAAGCCAGAGTTTTGAGAACGTATAGCTGGAGAGGTACATAAATAAAGAGGTGGTGAGACTTGTATTTAAGAGTAATTTATGGGAGCACGTGCCTCCTTGTGCCCCCCCCCCCTCCCTTGGACCTTTAGCTACGCAACTGAACTTTTGGGGTACAATAAGGAGAATAACAACAACAAAAAAATATCCATCCCAGGCCCATAATAATTATTATAGGCCAATAAAAGCGGCCCAATAAAAGCCGGAGAGGATAACTTCCGCTTGGGTCATTCTGCGCATGCGTGATTGTAGCCCTAAGAAAAGAAGAACATCAAGATCTCAAATAATTGCTGAAGTTTGAGGTAAAGTAATTGCAAATTTAGTACTTTTTCTTCATTTGAAATAAAGGATATTATTCTCCGATGGATTAAGGACAATTTTGTCAAGTGTGATGAGGGATTAGCCCGTCAATTTCCATCGAAATCCAGCCTGTACGGCATTGGCATTCTATATATTGGCCCACGTCTTCTTATTTGTGTAATGTTATTTTTAAGCCAGGGGCCAGGCGCTTGCTCAGTCTCAGACTCGGTGTGTGGTGTTAGTGTAATTGGGTTACTTTTTATAAACGTGTATCATTGCTTTCATTTTTGTTTCATCAATCTTACATTCTATGTATTGAAATCCATTCAATCATGTCAAGATGAAAAAAAAACTGTAATCTTAAGAATGATTTGTATTGTTTTGGAATGGATAAAAAATTATTGAAATAATAATAAAAAAATCAAAAAAATCAATCAGATATAATTTTTTGGCGCTAGTCTATTACCTCCAGAGTTTGAATCGTAACTCTGGCATGGATATACCCTACTAAAACATACCAAAAAATCAACTAAATCTTCACCAATTGTATAAATAATGGTCATGATTGAAAGTCATTATCTTTCTTGCCCCTTTCATGTCAATTCTCTTATCTTTTTTGGAGTATTTTCCTAAAAACGAAGACATTATGATATACACTTTCACACAGGTTTCAATACAAACTGCTGCACAATTACAATACAATTGCATGCCATACCGCCGAAGGGTTGCGGGCCGCGCTTGCGTGAAGTTAGCGACTATAATCTCAGATCTTCATTAATTCACATTATGACGATAAAGATCATTATTACGGTCGCTAACTACGCGGATGCGTGCCCGCCTGCAGACGTTAATACTTGCACACACGCTCTTTTTTTGTGTGGGTGGGGCACGCCCATGTCATCAGAGTAGATAACCATCACACACACACTGTACAACTTGTCAATACATAATAAGTATAGACCAGTTTTTGAAACGCCCCCCCCCCTCTCAAAAAATGTAATGAAAGCACTTATTACCAATCATGTAAAAGAATATGTTTTTACTTATTGGCGATGATACAAATTTTGCCGGGAAACCACCTACATGTACTAATTGATATATTTGGTAGATTATCATATCGATCCGGCTTGGATAGATATGGCGAATGCACTTCTACATACATTTGGGCATATATTTCTGTTTTTTGTGAATTTAGGTAGACGTATTGCCATCTAAACCTCTGAAGGCAATATTTAACAATATTGAATAGATATTTTGCACCAAAGACCCTTTAACCGCAATTTTACCACTACCGGTCTTTATCTTTAATGGGGATTCTTTAGGGAGAAAGATGAATGGTTGTTGTATTACTAAAGTGCTAAGAAGCTCATCTGTACTTCCAGGTACGTGCACCACCTCGTAGGTATTTTATGGGCAAAATCATTTATACCGTGTACACATGAACACATGTAGTACATATATGCGTAAGTGGTATTTTTATGACTCGTGCACAAGTTGAAGATTGCCCAAGTCAACTCAAGTCTCATCAAGGTCAACTTAAGTTTACTGTATTTCTCTAGGTAAAAAAAATATCCAATAACTGAATGAGAAATGTCCATCTTTTTTTTACCTGCAACATCAATATTATCATGTCCATTGTTCAAACTCTATACCAAATTTTTGTTCTTCCCCTACAGATCTCAAACCAAGCATACCACATGGCCATTCTCATCTACAAGAAGTTTACTGTTCTTCAAAATATGTTAAAGTAATACAAGCGTCCATGCACTAGTGGTTTTGTTACACACAATAGCCAATTAAAGAAGCCGTCCATCCAGGACAATGGAACAGGCAAATGAAGTGTTGCAGGTTGTCTCGACTGAACCAGGTAGAGGTGGAGAGGAGAGTAAATGGGATGGAGAAAATAAGGATGAACAATGTGAGACAACCATTCAGCAGTGTCCTTTGGAACGTTCTGAGAACAAAGGCAGTGGAGATCCAGTAAGAATACACTTCAGTCAAGGAAGCACTGGAGATCTACCCAATGAAGATATTCCTGGGAATTTTGTGGTTGATGTTGATGTAGTGGGTACAGGAGTGAAAGAAAAGTTGGTGGATTTGAAAGATCACACTTCTCTGGAACCTGGAGGAGTCATTCCTGATGCTTCAGCAGCTGTCATTACAGCTGAGGCAGATGATTGTAAAACCCATCCTGAGGGGGATACTCCACCGATTTCGACTGCTGAAGAAAAGATGACTTCTGAAGAGACAGAGACTCCAAATCCAGGAAAAGTGTCAACTGAACTTGGAGGCTCAGATATTATGTCCCCTATTGAAGCGGTGGTACCATTGGAGAAAGTCAAGGGAGATTCTATTCCCTTATCAAGTGAGGATCAGGAATTTGAAATATCTGTGCAGGAAAGCATGAAACCTGTGGAAGAGTGCAGAGAATCAGCAACACAAAAAGAGGACAACGTAAAGATAGATTTACAACTCGGTGCGGCACTTGTTACCCATTCAATAGTTCAGGATGTTCAAATTGCCAAGAAAGTTGAGAGTGAACCCTGCAGAGAAAGCCCAGGAGTTGTCCAGGTAATTGGTACAATTGAGACAGAAGGAGATGGTGTAATGAATGATGGACAGAGAGTAAAATTACCTGAGACGGTCCCTTCATCATCTCAAGAAGCAGGTACATTTAGTGGAAGCCATGTTGTCCCTACAGTTGAAGAGTCTGTACCAGTAGTTGATATGTTGATGAAAACTTCAGATGTTGTCAAAATCAGTGATGATTCAGTGACTAGAGTGAATTCTTCCTTATTCATGGACTCTGTGACATTAAGAGAAAAACAATTTGCAGAAGAGAGTGATAAGGAAAATGCTGTTTGCATCCAAGTGGAAGAGGACATTACTGAAAATGTATGTTCCACAGAAAATATGTTAGCTGTTGCTATGCCATCAGCAGAAGAAGCAGGAAGTGATATGACTGAAAAGCCAGTAGAGGATACCATAACTTCTACAGTTGAAGAAGTTAAACAACATGAAGTAGAGCATAGTCATACAGACCTCTCACAGATATTGGCAGTGGATACAGGTGTTGTGGTTGACACGGCAAGAAATGTTCTCGAAAAAGTATCTTCTGAATCTGTCACAAGTACTTCCACAGGAATAGAATGTAAGTCTAATGCGAGTGATGAGACTGCAATGGAAATAAGCA